TTCTGCAATAGTGCTCGAGCTCCAAGCTCCAGCCACCACAGCCAGATGATACAAGAAGGAGCCCAGAACCAGCCTCTCAAAAAAAAGGCATTTAACCTAATCTCTTTAAATCTAACAAGCCCAAGTCCTACAGAACATCCTTCCTGTCTTTCGAGAGAAAGGGGCAGGGTGAATTCCCTTCAGCAAAGCCTCAGTGACAGGGCACCTCCTGCGCCAGGACACAAGGATGGTCTGTGCTGCCACTGCTCTCTCTGGGTACAAGGTACTGCCTTCTCTAGAGGCTCTTCATTTAGTGCCTGACACTGCACTCTTCAACAAAGCAGTTCTTAGGTTGTGAGCAGCTAAAACTCACCTTCAGCTGTTTCTGCTGCTTTGATTCTTTCTCTTTTTCTTTTTTCTGCTTCTTTTTTGCAGTCACGTTTCCATCTACCTCTTCTCCTTTTCTCTTTCTAATAGAGAAAAACAAAACAAAACCACACACACATGAAAGGAAGTTGTTGAAATGCTGTCCAGCAGTTACCAGAGCTCAGATTACTGACTGCCGATATCTGCACAGGCTTGAATATCCTCAGTTTTGGCAGGCAAATCCATTTTTGAAATTCCTCAGTGCTAGGTTACAGACCTGCACTTGGCTCTGCAATGTGAGCTGCCTCAATCAGGTCAGGCACACTTTAGAGGTTTTCCACAGGGTAACCGTGTGGTGTGGGAGAAGAGCACGTGAAAGACTGCAACGCTCTCAGGCATATCCATCTATATATTCATCTCCATTCATCTCATCTATGCATCTATACACCAAAAGCATACCTAAGGATCACTGAACAGCTCTCCAAATTTGGGGATGTGTAGCAATCAGGTTAAAAGACCACAGTGTCTTTCAGCTGAATCAACAGCTTGATCAGCTTAGGCAGTCTATACTGAAATAAAGGAGAGCAAATATAGTAACTTTAATGAGTTAACACACTGGAAAACTAGGTATTTCCCACCTAGTTTCTTCTTCAGACTGGAATTAAGTCAAGCCTCTGAAACCAAACAGGTGCAAGTTTCTGGAAAATTTCAGTGCAAGCACTGTAGCACAAGTTTCAGGTGCAAGCATTGGAAAATGCTTCCAGGCTCACAGTGGCTTTGTGATGCACTGTTGGGAGCTGCATGTGTGGAAACATATTGCTATTTGTTAGGCCTTAGAGCTGAAGGGAGAAGTTACAGAAAACATTGCTCCAGAAAGACTAGAAAGTCAAATGAAAACTGGGGGATTTTGGCAGACTTCAGAGTGACAAGGGACCTCAGAAGAACATAATTTATTTTTCCAGAGTCATGCCATCCCCTTTGTCTGCCTGGAGCATGTGTTCTCCTTGTGAGGATGTCAAGAGAAATTCTATCCCAGCTGAGATAGGACAGGCCTGCAACTCGAGGCAGAGCATGAACACAGCTTGGATCACACACTCCATTTTGACAGAGATGCTTTCTGTTACAAAACATCAGCCAGCTCTCTTTTAAAGAAAGCCTCTCCCAACTTTGTAAGCTGTGGCTGAGGTTAAGTCATGAAGTCGACATTTCTGATTGCTCTCCTACTTACAATTTTAGACAGCTCTTTCTAGGACTTTGCTCCCATTAAGACTAAGAATGTCAGGAGGTACTCTCCTTCCAGAGACTCCTGCATGAGACCTGTATGTTCTAGTAACTTGCCTGGCCCTAAAATTGTGCTAAGTGCTCACTTTATTTGCAGTGGCCACAACAGCCCACCATTAGCACCTCTGACCAAATCACAGTTCAGAGCACTCTGAGGGACTGGCTTGGCAGAAGATCTCATCTTCCAGCTGTGCCCCTGCCAGGTGCCATCAGTGAGCAGGGGCTATGCTGTACATCTCCCTCGTGGTGGGGGGAAACAGCCCCACTGTGCTGCCAGCAACTGCTTGAGAAAAACTTCACCCTCTGTTCTGGATCAGGCAAGCAGCAACCAGTGTGGCAGGACTGGCTCCAGCACACACACACAGCAGTGCCTCCAAAAGTCCCCAGGCCAAGCAAGTCCTCCTTCCTCCTTGGCTGCAGCCCCTTCTGGGAGCAAGACCAGAGCATCCACTGAGCCCTATCAAGAGGACAATGACTTACCAAAGTTTTAACAGAGTCAGGGGTACACAACAGAATCTGTGAAAAACTTACCAGCCTGAGTGCAAAGCGTGCTGCTGCACCTTCCCAAACCAGGGATTAATGATGTCAGTGCTCAGGAGGGGTGCCCAGCCCTGGGTAACTGCAGTGCCTGCTGACAGCCAGGCTGCCTCCAGCAAGCCAGCACTCACTCCCACAGAGTAACCTGTCTCCTAAGGGAGCCAATCCAGCACAGCAGCCGCTGGAAGGATCACTCTGCTGAGAGACCCTGTGACCCAGGGAATGTGTCCAAAGAGTCACTCTTTTGGCAGCTTTTCCTCAGGCAAGGGGACAGCAGTTCTGTACAGAGTGATTACAGTACCTGCTCCAGCCACTGGAACAAACCATGGAGTGGGAGGGAACAGCCCAACTGCAGGGAGGCATAAAGCTATGGGTCACCACCTTCTGTTTCGTGCCCACGGCTAAAGCAAACACCAATCATTTTATATAGCCTGGAGAAGGGAATGGCAAAGCTGACTTCATCTTACAGCTTCCCAAAGCGGCACATTTTAGAGCAATCTGTAAACTACACCCTCACTGACACAAGAACACACACACAGAGGGATCTTCCATCCTTGGGCCACAAAACCATGTGCTGCCCACAGCAGTGGGGTGCTACTGTGTACACCCTTTCTCCTGCTGGGGAAGGGACAGCCCTCCACCTCTGACAGGTACAGCCCAATAGCTTGCCTGGAAGGACTGGTATTTCCCAGGCAATGCAAACCTCTTCTCACCTTCATGGAGGCCACACAAGATTTATTCCAACTTCAGAGGAGATGAAGAGGTAAGTGAGCTGCCCCACTGTGGCCTGGCCCTTCCTGACCATCTACTCTATTTTTCACACTCACCTCTTCCCCTACCTACAATGAAAAGGTGGAAAGGACAGTCACAACAACCCTGGATAAAGCAAGCAGCCCAGCAGGGAGGAACAAGAACTCCTTTTTTCACCTCCTCTCTGTAAAGCACTGCCAGACTGTTGGTGACCTGAGCACTTAGCATTTGCCTCAGGTCACCTCTGCAGCTAATCCAGTGCTGCATGACATCTCCAGAGTGACACTTTACTCCTGACCTGGGCAGCAATTCCATCTAAACAAGTGAGGCAGAAAATACAGGAAGTATTACAGCTCAGAGCAGGAGGACAAAACACACACTACCAAAGAAATACTGTCAAAAGGAGCTCACAAGCTGCTACTGCATTTCCTACACCAGCACACAGCATTCTTTCCACAGAGAAGCTGCAGGCAAGGACACAAGATCCTCCTTTCCCAGGTCTGCAAAGTGTTAGTGCTTAGGCAGGACAGCCCATAGCCCAAGGGAGGCTTGCATGTCTCACCCAGAACTGGCTGAGGAAAGGAGCCAGGATCCTTGCAGTAAATCCTTCCATATTTGGTCTTCACAAGGAAAGGATTTTCCAACTTATTCTGGGTAGCCCTGCTCCACACCTCACCTCTCCCATGTGAAAAAGGCACGTCTCAATGCCACTTTTACACAAAGGGCTGACAGGGCAGTCCCCAAGTCTGAGATCCTCCTCAAAGTATGGGCTGGACATGCAATAGCAGCACCTGAGTTTGGATGTGTCACATCTGAATTGCACAGACTTCTGAGTCAAGATACAATTCAAATGCAGCCTCTTTAGAAATATCTTCACAGATAATTTTGAGAATCTCTCTTGCAACAGACACTTTAATATAATTTCTGCAAGAGGCTGTAATTTCTGTTGATAATTTCTGTTATCTGATCGAATTCACAAGGTGAATTATCCGAGGTAACTGCATCTCATTCAGGTTTCTGAAGTGTTCTTCCTTTGGCTTCCTCATAACTCCTGTGCTTTCTTGGCAGCAAAACCACCAGATAGTTAGCACACCACACTCTTCCACTCATGCTGTTTATTTACACTCTCACCCATTCTGTTTGTTTGACAGGCAACGATTTTTCCAACTGACCCTTACCACCCTTGGCCCAAGCACAGCCCAAAGAGCAGAAGGTAGTGGAGCATAAGAGCCAGCCAGCAACTTGAAGGCTGAGGGGCTTGTTCAGGAAGTGCTTAGAAAGCAGGAAAGATGAGACATCCTGCTGCTTTTCTGGTTCACATTACCCTCCACCACCAGTGCAAGCTTTTCTCCACTGCAATTCTAGGCTTTTATTTACGCAGTGACTTGGCAAACTACTTTGTGGCCTTTCCTTACAAAGCCTTCATATTTTGCATAGCATCCCAGAAGTGGCCCAGAAAAGCAGTCAGGGCAGACAAGAGAAGCACTTACACAGTCAAATCTCTAGAGCTTTGCTGAGGACATGGGAGAAAACTACAAATAACCCTATTAAACTCACTGTTCTAGGACAAAGCAGAACTCACATCTCAGCACAAAAAAGCAAAGGACTACTTGAAAACCTGTAAGTGCATTAAAATACTGCACTTCTGCTTACACTAAGCAATGCACAAAGAGGTAAAATCCCTGCATGGAAAGACAGCAGGCTGCCCAACAGATGCACACATCTCCTCTTGGTCTCTGCCAGCTCAGCAGAGCAAGGTGAACAGAACAGAACCTGACAGGGCTCTGGCCAAAGCCCCCATCCTGGGGTGCTGCAGGACTCTCCCCACAGCACCCACACCACTGCCAAATGCTCCTGGAGCAGTGGCTTGCCAAGGAACTACACACCACACACATCAGCTGCATATGTGAAGGACCAATGCTGACAAAGACTGCACAGCCGTGACATGGCCACAGCTTCTCAGAACAGACGTCAGCCTTGCTGGACATTTTCATGGTAAATCTTTGCAAAAGCAAAGTTGAATTAAGTCTAAAATGTACACAGAGAAGCCTAATGTTTTCCAATGACAAGATCTTTCTTATTTGTAGGATCCAGAAATACCTAATGTTCCTTCCTCCATGGAGACAATACAACACTGGTTTGTGTTATGAAGCATTACTCCAGGCAAAGTCATTTGAAGAACAAGTAACAAAAACCTCCATTAAAAAAAGAAAGATTCACAAAGCTAGCAAGTCACCTGGAAACACTTCTCTGTCAGTACAAGTTCTGTCAAAAGCCTCCACTGAAAATCTCAATGCAAGGCAATGAAATTTCGGACACACTATAGAAGATTCAGCAAAAAGCATCCAAGTGTAAGCACTACATGGCCAATAAACACCATTATCAGATTCAGTGCCTGTCACAGTTCAGCAGCTCATAGATAAAAGATGTCAAATCAATTCTCTAACAAGTGGTTTGAGCAGAGAAACCATTGCTGATAACAGTATCACACAAGGAGACACAGAGCCCAGTATGCATTTATACTACACAAGCATTATTTTATGGTTGAAAGCCCTGAATCAGCCCTCCAAGTCACAGCTGCAGGTCTCTGCATTTCCTCAAGGCAGTCACAGGGGGCAACTGGACCGCAGGTTCCCAGGGACAGGGAATGTCTGCTGTCATCTGCCTGAGGTCACAGGAAGGACCAAACCTTCCTATGACCAGTATTCTTCTAACAGAGACAACAGCATCCCACAACATTTATCATGGATGTATTTAAAGGCAACAGCTCCTCCAGACAACACCATTTCTTACACTAACCACCTACCCTTCACTCTTGGTAGCTGGGAGCTGCTTCTTCAGAGTTTCTTTATCTTCAGCTTTCAAGATGCTGAAGCCCAGGAGCTGGGTGGCCCCGTAGGCCGGGAGGAAGCCCAGCTCTGCTCGGCGGCTCACGAAGCACTCCGGGTGGTACCAGTTATCGATCATACCCAGCTGCGGCTTCTCAGGATGCACCATCTTCTTGGAAATCCGGATCTGGCCCTGAGGGAGATGAAAGTGACAAAAGAGCAATGGTTAGGCCATTCTGGAAGGAGCAGGATGTTAACAAGTTGCCAACATGATGCTTCCTAAAAACTTGTCAAGCAGTAACAGTTCCTCTATCAAAGTCTGCAACTTTTGTTCAAACCCTTTCACTACAGTTCCTCTACCATTTTCATGTACTCTTGCTAGGTTGAAAAAGTCACCTTTTAAGGCAGTTTTCTGTTCAAAATCCACTCAAACTGGGTACGCCTGTTGTCTGTATTCAAACTTCCAGTAAGCTTACTAAACTCACATGAACAAGCCTCATAAAGGCACATGTCAAAATTAACTTTATGTCCCTATCACTCAAACATCAATGCTAATATCATCTTATCCTGCTTTACTGAAAATTACCTTTCAGATGTCCAACAAGCAGATGTTTTGCAGTACAGCAACAAGCAGGAAAAGCTGCAGTTAGTGGTGGCTCTCTTGCTGCCGAAATGTTGGTGAGCAGCATTCCCAGCCTGCTCTAAGACCCGAGTGAAAGGAGGGATCACCAGGCTTGAAGCTCAGGCTACCATGCCTGAGGGATGCCTTTACTGTCAGCTGTCCAGGACACAGCTGCTGCTCACACATAGAAATGCAGCTCTGCAAGTGCTTTCCATATGCAGGACAGACAGGAAGCAATTATAAAAGCCACTGTTTGAATTAAAACTGATGAGAGAAAAGATGAGATGGAGAACTTTTTTACCTTTTCTATTTTCTGCTCACAGCCTTTGCAAGTGCTTCTGTTAGACTTGGCATATTCTGCAGCAAAGTCATTTAGGCTCTTCTCAGCTTTACCACCTCCTTCCTGTTCCCCTCCTTTTCCTGAAGAACAAAGCAAATACAGGATTCAGCTTTAATACGCATTCCCTTACTTTCTTATTCTCTGTCCCAGATTGTTAGCAGTCTGCATTAATAAACCTCTTGGGTTCCAGCCACTCGTTTGTCCAGAATTTGAACAGAGAGCAAGACAATCAGTCCACGCTCAAAAGCACCACAGAGCCACCATAACCATGCACTGAACTGAAGGTACCATTAAGAAAACAATAGTACAACAGCATCTGTTAACATTAAAGAGCTGAAAACTAAATACACTGATCATGATAACAAGAAATGCTTTTCAATATATCTGCCAACTGACTTGGCTTTTTCTCCTCACTGATTTAACATGCTGGATGATACTGTCAGCATCCTCGCCCTGGAGTGCGGAGACATCTCAGCAATTCTTCTGACATCACTCGCTGAAGCGACGTGGCCATCAAAGCACCACAATAACAGCACAACAAAAGAGAGCACAGCTCCAGATGAACCTCCAAACACCATGAGGCTTCTGCCTACCTCCTCCAGGGCCTCCAGTTTCAATGGCTTTCTTGATTTTCTCCTGATCTTCCCACCGAAGCTCGGGGAAGCCGTCAATGTCTGCATGGGACACAATTCGAGCCCGCTTCCAGAAGCAGCTGTAGTGGTGCCAGTGAGGGACTTTGCCATCAAACATGGGTGACTAGCAAAAAAGCACATTAGGCCAAGATGAAACAATTCAAGCAGAATCAAGAGGAAAAACAAAACAAAGCCCAAAAATAAAAAGGAGTATCTGGGTAAACACACACAATTTCTTCTTTTCATTTTTCTTTAATTCAAGAGCTGAATACTAGGACAAAGTCTAAGAAGAAAATCTAATAAGACAGACAAGCTGCTGGAGAGATGTCCCCAAAGTAGAAAGACCTGGAAGGAGCATTTAGCTAGCTTAACCAGTCCATCACCCTGCTGCTCAGCCCATCTGTTTTACTGAAAGAAAAAAAAAGTCACAACCTTAGCACGGCTGCACCAGCCCCTGTGACACTGTGCAGCACAAAAGGCTCACTCCCTCTGAGAGCCACTTCTCAAGCAAACTGTCTATATACTGGAGAACCCATGGCAGGCACAAGATAAGAAGGGCAGCTCCAAGGATTGTGGCCTGAGGAAACTCCTGAATGGCCTGCAGGAGGTAGAGACAAAATTCAATGGAAACACCAGAGCCCAGTTAAAGTTCTGCATCAGAGGCTGACAGCAGGCCACAAAGATGATCAGAGGGCTGAAGAACCTCTCCTGTGAAGATAGGCTGAGAGAGTTTGGGGTGGTCAGCCTGCAGAAGGCTCCAGGGCTATCTTATAGCACTTTCCAATACCTGAAGTGGGCCTACAAGAAAGCTGGAGGGGGAGTTTTCAAAAGGACTTGTAGTGATAGGGTGGTGAGGCAGTGGGAAAGGTTGCCCAGAGAAGCTGTGGATGCCCAATCCCTGGAAATGCTCAAGGTTGGATGGGGCTCTGAAGAACCTGATCTAGTGGAGGGCATCCCTGCCCATTGCAGGGGATTGGAACTGGATGATCTTCAGGGCTCCTTTCAGACCAAACCATTCCATGATCCTGTGATCAGGACAGAAGCATCACCCAAATCCTCCGTGAAGTGCAGCTCCAGAGTGCCCTGCCCCACACCAAGCACTTGTTTTGCAAGTACCCCACTTGTTTAAAACTCACAGTAGGTACTATCCTGCCATCACTCCAGTTACCCACCAGGCAAAATAACCTTACAGTGGTTTGGCTCCAAATAACACACACAAACAGCTGCTGTACTAATAATACTCAGTGCTGTGTAATTATAATTACTGATGATACAGAACTAATGACCTAGGAAAGCCTTCCATGTGTCACTCACTAACAGGAGGGAGTTAAAAACAAGCCAAAACCAACAGCAGAGCTTTGTGCATGAGCAGGAAGGAAAAGGAAAGGGCTTCGAAAACCACAGCATGGAACCAGGAGATCTGAAAGCCCAAACTACAGCCAACCATCTACCCAAACTGTAAGAGGACATTTATATTTCCAGATGGGCTCTTCCCACAAGCCAGGACTGCATACCCAGCTATCCTCACAGCAGCCACCCTGCAGTTGCTCTCAATGTGTCTGTAAGTCACACGCAATTTTGGCACTGCAACGTGGACTCTGGGCTTGTGTCTAGAGTTGTGCAGGCTGATTCGAGGCTGTTCCCAACACAAAGGCTTTGAGGGCACAAGGCACTGGGGAGTACAAAAGAGAGCAGAGCTGGCTCAATCTTTAAGACAACCATACAAGCAGTGAGTAATCTCCTCAATATGGAGTTTCAGACTCTTCTCTGTGTGGAAAATGAAACCTCTAGGCAAGCTGGGCCTTGTTTACATAACTTCTCTCAGCTCACCTATCTCTAGACCATAGTTTCCTAAACAAACTAAGGAAAAAAGAGACCGATTCACTTTCACAGTGCACGTTCAGATAACAGAAACCGCTCCGTTCCAGCTGGAAGCAAAAGACAAAGCTGTGCTGGTCCTGCAGGGCCTGGGTGCCTGCCCTGTGCCAAGCACCCAGAATCCCACTGTCATTCAGAGCCCTTCACTTGAGGAACCAAAACAAAAGGGAGGTTATGGCAGACACAACTGCAGCCACGGTCTGTATGTCTCTTTAATTTCTTCAGCACAGTTTGCAGAAGAGCTCGATGCACTGATGCTGGCACAGAGGCTGCTCTGCAGGAGATTTCCCCAGAAAAAGCAAGGGACCCACATGCTCTGCTGAAATTCAGGTATTTACAGCGGGATGCTCAGCAGCAGCGTGTGCTCCGCTGGTACAAAAACTAGCAGAGGAAACAGCAAGGAAATTCAAGACGTTGTGGGGAAAATAAATAAAAATACAAGTGTTTGGTGTAAGACCGGCAGTTTTGGGGAGATGACCGGCAATGAAAGGCAGTGGCTCCGTGAGGAATGTCATGGTCCCAGGAGCTCACCCCATAAACCAAACCCTAGCGAACCAAAACACAACTCCTACCCCCCGTACTGATGAAGGGCAACCCACCCCGCACCAGCCTCAGCTGCTGGGCAAGACAGGAAGGGGTAACAAACGTGAGGAAGCCGAGGAGCAGCAGCCGGAGCAGGGGAGGAGCAGCTGCTCCAGCGAGCGGCTGAGGGCAGCGGGGGAGACAAAAGGAGAGGCGGCAGGAACACGTGCGAGCAAACGCTGCAGCTCGGCACCGCACGGTCCCGCACCTTCCCAGGGGGAGGAGGCTCTGCGGAACAAAGGCAGAGGCAGGTATTTCCCCTCCGGGACAGCAGCTTTGCCTCCAACCCCGGCGGGCCTGCCAGCCCCGCCCGGCAGCCCGGGCGAGCGGGGACCGGGCCCTTCCTCCCCGCCGCTACAAGCGGAGCCTCTTCCAGGGGCACAAGCGAGCTACGTCCTCCAGCGCCGGCTCCTCGGGCGGCGGGGAGCCACAGCACCCGTGCACTCATCCATCCCTCCATCCATCCGCAGGGCTTTGCGCTGCCACGTCCTTGCTCGCCTTCCGCAGACACACACGTAAGCCTTTGCTTACCTTTCACAGCAACACCCCCAAACTCAGCCCGCCCCCAGCACGCTGCAGGCGCCCCCTCCCCTCTGCCCTGCTGCAGCCATTGGGGACAGTCCCCCCTCCCAGCACAGCGGCGATTCCCTCCGCATCCTCCCGCAGCAGGCAGGGATGCCGG